ATATAATTCATCAATTAGTTTTTTCAAAAAATAAATACTTTAAGAAAAAATGTGTTGTGATCTGAAAAGTACAGATTTTTTAGAAAGGGTTTATTACTAGGTTATGAAAATGGCTTGTCTCATTTATTTATTCTTTCATTTATCGTTTAAGATGACGAAAATACAAAGTTTAGTGTATTCGAGGATAAAAATTTATCTCAACTTTGATTTTTTATTGTTAAAAATTTTGCATATCGATGCATATTTGGCATATATTGGAGCATATTTTTTAATATTTTGTGCATATTTTTGTAAAAATACGTGCATATATATGCGCATATTTTACGAATTTTTTGTGCATATAATCCGAGCCTTACTCATCACTAAACATTACAAACCTTAAAAAATTAGGTTCTTGGTTCATTTTATCCTGCATAAAATGACAAAAGAGAACTCGCTTCTCATGATCAGCTTCCTTTAACGGTTGGACATGGCAAGGATGAAACCGATTTTATTTTAGAATCCGATTAACCGACGACTGGCTAATCCCAATTTCTCTCGAAATTTGTCTTTGGTTTACATGTGGGTTCGATAACTCTAATTTCTCGTTATCAGGGTTCGTTGCAGCCGTCGTCTATGGGGTTTTTGTTTTGGCCAATTTAGGTGCAGTTCAACTTCTAATTGTCTAAAAATTTTATCTGTAGGATGCCTACAATTCGGATACCGGTACAAATTTTCGGCTGCTACTGCATTCTTCTGACACCATAAATCAATATCATGTCTACCCTTTCGTCATTAGAATACATTTTTAATCAACAAAAATTTTTGAAATTTTACAAGGGTGTCCGGATTTTATGCTAATTAAACATAATTAAGAGTATCAAGTTAGAAATGAATAATGTATAATGGGTTGCATTTAAAGTTTGTCAGGGTTGTAAAGTTATGTGAATTACCCTGTATAGTCACTCATTTTTATTGCACTTTTGAATTTGCCTTTTCAAACTGAGTAAAACGTACCCAAGGTCTTGGGACTTCACTGTTGTAGTTTTTGAGACATTTTTTTGTCGAAATTTTAATTTGCAGGGGTGCATTCAAAAAATTATAGCTTTTGATTCCTAACTTAACTTTTCTTTTCACTGAATTAGAATAATGCAGATTTGTTTGTTTCATGTGAAATGTAAAATAAAAGATAAAAAATTATACTATTTTATCTTCAAGCGGATCACAAGGGAATAGAAATTACAAAAATAGGCCATTTCAACCCTTGCTATACAGACAAGGGCGGATCCAA